TGAGCCACAGCACCACTTCCGGCTTTTTTCTCTTTTTTTTTTGCTTATATGGTGCTGAGGAATCGAACTCAGGGCCTCAGGCATGCAAGGCAAGCACTCTAACACCACCTTCCCAGCCCTTCCTAATGGTTTTATAGTATGTTTGATTAAAAGCACATTTAAACAACACAATTAAGTACTCAAGCTGCTGAGAACCAAAAAAATATCTAACAGCCCCAAAAGTGAAGTGCCACCTCTGGGGCTCACTCAGGTCCATTACTATCAGGGCAATCTTTTCTGACCAAAGCCTCTTTGGACTGAGAGACACGTGAGGCCTTCTGTGACCTGTGGCTGTAACCCTGCACTGAGAACAGGTTTGTACATATCTGTTCCCATGCCTGTCTCCCCATCTTGATGATAAAGCCATTGATGGCCGGACCCTATTGGATGTTTCTTATGCTTCTGCAAGAAGGTCTTAAACTCCTGGGCTCAAGTGATCCTCCTGCCTCGGGCAGTTACAGGCAGCTATAACTCCCATCACTTCCAACTGTGAAATAGGAAAACAAAAAATCTCAAGAGAAGACAAAGCTGTTTTTCCTGGGTACATTCTTACCCCAAGTTCCAGCTGCTTACCATCCACACCCTTTGTATCAATGATGTTCTCTGCAGCTTTAGCTACTGCACGATTCAAAGATTCACTACCAACTTTGTTCATTCTCCTAGAGTTTAGAGATCGCTTCTGTTTGGTGGTTCCAAAGGCTTCAATGCAAGAATCCATCTGTGTAAGGCACAAACCTGGTTACAGTCACTGAGGTACCATCACCTCTCCTGTCCATCAGACACGTCACGCCAATCTACCTCATAGCACAGGTGATGGCAGTAACAGATGTGATGAACTTACTTTAAAAACAGTATCAACAACTTTTCCAGCAGTAAAGGAGAAGAATTGACTACAATTAGGGTTAGTAAATCTGTGGCACATAGCTTACCATACTGTGCCTATACCTGTACTCTTCCCATCCTATACTTGAAACAGATATTGCCAATGGATCACTGGCTTTCCCTCGGAGCCAGAACACCCTCACACCCCTCTCCACCATGGTGCCTGAGGCAGCAATGAATGAAGAGTTAACCAATTTGTCATCCTGGGGTGAGATGACCATTGTGAAGAACCTTCTACATACAGTATAGTTTGTTTTAATATGCAAGCTTCCAGACAAAACCAGTATTTCCTGATATTTGGACCAAATCCTAAAAACCAGTAGACTACATCTCCAGCAGCCAAGAGGATAGGTTCCAGACACTGACACACAGCTGCGTTTGGTTGCCCAGGAGCACCAGGTCTGCTCTCTGCTCTCTCCAGAGACCCCTGCAAGTCGGCACTGTCCACGGTCACACACTTAAGCCAGAACAGCTAGGGAGACCTGGATTCAACACACATCTTAATTCTGTCACACTCACCTTTTCTCTGAAACTTCTGGTCTGACTCTCCAGAGCTGGTACACTCTCAAATGATTCATCTATAGAAACACAGAACACAAAAACAAAGAGAAAAAAATAGCAAACTGTAAAGCCTACATTTTTTTTCTTTTTTTGAAATGGGGGTCTCACTGTTGTCTAGGCCAGTTTTGAAGACCTGGGCTCAACTAATCCTCTTGCCTCCACCTCTTAAGTAGCTGGGACTATGCCCAGCTCTGTAAGGTCTGTAAATGTTATTACCAGTGCTTAACATTCCATCTGTTTTAACAGCTAGTCTAAGAAAAACCAATTTCTTTATTCCAGGACTTCCCTGAGCCTAAGGTAAGTAAATGTACACTCTGAATTTACCAAGGCATTATCTACTCCCCAGAAGGAAGCAGACTGGGCTTTCCTGACTGGGCTAACTTCAAACTTGATTCTCAAGTCTCGGTCTCCTAAGGTTTACAGGTGTGAGTCACCAGTGTCCAGCTTCTCTGTTGTTTCTGTATGTAAATATATGAAACCCACTTCCTACATTTCAAAGCAGAGAATTAACTTTGAGCCTACACACCCCTTGGAAATTTACAGTTGAGCATCAAGACTCAAGAGCTCTCTAAATATACATGTAAAGTCTCTCTCTCTCTTTTGCCATTCCTGGGGCTTGAACTTAGGGTCTGGAAGCTGTGTTTTTGTGTTCAAGGCTAGTGCTCTACCACTTGAGCCACAGTGCCACATCTAGCTTTTTCTAAATAGTTTATTGGAGATAAGAGTAAGTCCCGGGGCTGGGAAGGTGGCTCAGTGGTAGAGCGCTTGCCTTGCATGCCTGAGTCCCTGGGTTGGATTCCTCAGCACCACATAAGCAAAAAGAAAAAAGCCGGAAGTGGGCCTTGAGCTGAAGAGCTGAGGGACAGAGCACAGGCCCAGAGTTCAGGCCCCACGACCGGACCCAAAAAAACAAACAAACAAACAAAAAAAAAAAAGAATAAGTCCCATGGACTTTCCTGCCTGGACTGGCGTTAAACCATGATCCTCAGATCTCAGCCTCCTGAGCAGTTAGGATTACAGGTGTGAGTCACTGGTACCTGGCTTGAAATCTCTCTTTTTTTTTTTTTTTTTGGGGGGGGGGGCCTCACTGGGCTTGAACTCTAGGCCTGAGCACTATCCCTGAGCTGCTTTTGCTTAAGGCTAGTGCTCTACCACTTGAGCCATAGCAATATTTCCAGCTATTTTGAGTAGTTTATTGGAGCTAAGAGTTTCATAGACTTTCATGTGTAGGCTGGCTTCAAACCACAAACCTCAGATTTCCTGAGTAGCTAGTATACAGCCATAAGCTTCTGGCACCCAGTTTTAATATTTATTTTTATATGACATGTATACTATTTTGTTGTTGTTGTTGTTTTTGGTTGGTTGTGGGGCTTGAACTCTGGGCTTGGGCACTGTCCTTGTGCTCTACCTCTTGAGCCACAGTACCACTTCTGGTTTTCTAGTGTTTTATTGGAGATAACAGTCTCACAGACTTTCCTGCTTGGGCTGGCTTTGAACTGCGATGCTCAGATCTCAGCCTCCTGAGTAGCTAGGGTTACAGGCGTGAGCCACCAGCGCCTGGCTATGTATACTGTTTTGGTGAAGTATGTCCAAGCTTTGATCAGATTCTCAAAAAGTATGGAATCACTGCTTAGAGAGAATGAAGTCTGAACTGATGGCTCTAAACATACAAAGCAGATTCACAGCAATCATTGTGAACTTTCCTCCTCTCACACCCTACCTGCTAAGGTTCTCAATGGCTGAGGGCATCATTAAGGGTTTGAGTTTAGAGATTTAGAAAACAGGAGCCCCTTGAATATGACCCTCACACTTAAACCATTTTTAGAAGATTTCTAGTCCTCAGCATTTTAGGATAACAAAACAAAAACAATATAACCTTTTCCAAGGGATTAGAGAAAATATAGATCCTTCCCCAAATTAGACACAACTTCTCATCAACCATTTCTTTAACCTAGGAGAGATTCTAAAACTTCTACCAATAAAACAGTTAAAGATTAAGGAAGGCTGCTGGGCCATCAGTGGCTCACGCCTGTAATCCTAGCTACTCAGGAGGCTGAGATCTAAGGATTGTGGTTCAAAGCCAGCCTAGGCAATAAAGACTGTGAGACTCTTATCTCCAATAAACCACCAGAAAACCTGAAGTGGCACTGTGGCTCAAGTGGTAGAGCTGAAGAACTGAGGGACAGTGTTCAGGCTCAGAGTTCAAGCCCCATGACTGACAAAAAATAAATAAATAAATAAATAAAATTAAGGAAGGCTTTTGAGGGCAGAGTATGTGGTGGCTCACATGTGTAATCCCAGGTACTAGAGAGATGGAGATTGGGAGGATTGTGGTTTGGGATTACATTTCCACATATAAACTGGGCACAGTAGAAAACCACTGTAAAAGGTGTAAATAGGACCTCCAGTTCAGTCTAAACAAACCTGCAGAAACTTATTCAACAAATAATTAAAGCAGAAAGGGATGGGGAATGGCTCAAGTGGTAGAGACCCTGCCTAACCAGTGCAAGGTCCTAAGTTCAAACTGCAGCAGCTCCCCTTCCCCCACAAAAAAAGGCCTTTGATGGAAAAGAATTTATGAAACATGTCCTCTAACATTCTACACAGATCACTGCTCAACTTGCTGTAAAGGCTGGTTTCTGATCCCACATCTATAAACACTGTGAGGACAGGATCTGTTTCAATCTTGCTGACTTGTCATTCACAGCCCCTAGTTTGGTTACAGGACATAGAAGATCATCAATAAATGCTTGCTGAATTTAAAAGTCTAAAACTTAAAAAAAAAAAAAACTTGCCAAAAGATAATACTCACAAAATGTTTTTTAGAAATCAAAAACTCAGGTGAACTTATCCAGCATCCCAAACTATGCAATATGACTGTGAGTCTTCGAGCATACCTTCAAAAAGCGGCTGCATGTTGAACAACTCAGCATCATATACTTCCATTTGGCCAGAGGTCTTATTCAAAATTCCCACAAAGTGTCTAAATAAAAAAAAAATTTTAAAGGAATAATTCCACAAGAGATTATTTAAAACATAGTTTTCACATCTTCTTTTTTCCTGTTTACCTTCTTTCTACCCCAATACACCTGAAGAATGCATCAACTTGTTTGTAAATAACAATAACTCTCTTAATCAGTTCTCTGCCTGTCTACAATTTTATCAGTCCCAGAGTTACACACTGTTCAGACTGTACAGTCTTCATGGTCAGAGGAAACCAGGGTCAGTGAAGAGTAGAGCTGCCCTAAGTGGTAATTATCAGTGACACTGCTAGATATAAACTTTAGAATCCTCTTCCCTAACCTAGAACCTTTGATGCTACCAACTCCTTTTCTTTCTTTCTGGTTTTTTTTTTTTTTTTTGTCGGTCATGGGGCTTGAACTCTGGGCTTGGGTACTGTCCTTGCGCTCTTCAGCTCAAGGCGAGTGCTCTACTGCTTGAGCCACAGTGCCACTTCCGGTTTTCTAGTGGTTTATTGGAGATAAGAGTCTCATGGACTTTCCTGCCCAGGCTGGCTTTGAACCATGATGCTCAGACCTCAGCCTCCTGAGTAGTTAGTATTACAGACGTGAGCCACTGGTGCCTGGCTCTAACTCCTTTTCTTATAGTTGGTGCCAAGGCAAGTTTTAAGAAAGCTTTAACCAATTAACATTGTATATTTCAAATTAGTGGAGAAAGTTGTTTTTGGGAATAAGCTATAAATAAATAATGTAGGCTGAGTACTGGTGGCTCATGCCTATAATCCTAGCTGCTCAGGAGGCTGAGATGTGAGGATCACCATTCAAAGCCAGCCAGGGCAGAAAAGTCCCTGTGAGACTCTAATAAACAACTGAAAAAAGCTGGAAGCAGGCTGGGAAGTGGCTCAGTGGTAGAGTGCTTGACTTGCATGCATGAGACCCTGGGTTCGATTCCTCAGCACCACATAAGCAGAAAAAGCCAGAAGTGGCACTGTGGCTCAAGTGGTAGATGCTAGCCTTGAGCTAAAGAGCTGAGGGACAATGCCTAGGCTGAGTTCAGGCCCCACAACCAACAACAATAACAAAAGAAAGCTGGAAGTGACACTGTAACTAAAGTGATAAGAGGATTAGCCTTGAACACAAAAAGGCTCAAGGACAGTGCCCAGGCTCTGAGTTCAAGCCCTAGGACTGGCAAAAGTAAACAAACGAATAATGTTACAAATAAATGAGGTCTTGAGAAAATTCAATAAGTAAAACTTTCTAGACATGTTCACAAGCTGGTCCAAGAGCCTCTGTGTCTAGAAACACAGGGACTTGGTAAACCTCCCTAGACTTCTCCAACTGCTGTCAATGCCTCCATTATTACCCCTCCCATCACTCTTTTCATGGCCCTTCCCCTACCATTACCTGCACAGAGTGTTGCATTTGAGGGCTCCTGTCCCAAAATTGTTTCCAACGTAGGAAAGTCTATCTGTTTCAGCTGCCTAAAATGCAGAGGGAGGACAATGCCATTTACAACCAATGTTGAAAAATACTCCTTTGTCCATCTGCAGAGGCTTAAGGACCACAGTGGATTAGCACTAGACAGTCTCAGGGAGGTATCTCTGGGGAAAGGCAAGAGAATTTGTGAAAGGGAAGTCCTACAGAGTGATCACTTCTAACTGGCATGCAAAGTTCTTGGGGGATAGGGGTGGGGAAGGCTGCACCACAGGACTGGATAGAGGCCTTGCATTCTCAGCACTTACAGGAATGCAACAAAGAAACTCTGCAGGCAATATTCTTGGCCCAAAGTCCAAGACCTTCTTGATCTCACCCATGGCTGCTCTTCATACATCCACAGGTCCAGTGGAAATGACAGACTCACTGCCCAACCACAGCTGAGCTTACATTCTCCCTTATATTTGTCCTTACTATCTTTATTTAAAACATCAAACCTCATTTCTTAAACCCTGTCCCATCCTTCAGAGCTCAGCTCCAATATATCTTCTCCCAGGCAAGTTTTCTGGCAACCAGAGATTTCCCTTCCAACTGAGCTCATTTGCTGCTGCGCTCTTCCTAGGACCCTGGGCTTTGTGTATTGTATGAGTGTCACTTGCAGCCAGTATGCACCTCTCAAAAGCAAGAGTTCTCAAATCCATGGAAATCCACTCCAGTGCTACTGGAATCTAGTGGCTAGAGACCAAAACTGCTACTAAACATCCTAGATTCCACAGGCCTGCCATCTACAGCAATGAGTTATCCAACTAAAAACATCAATAGTGTCCAGGCTAATAAACCCCACTCTACAGTAGAAGTTCCCAGAGCCAGGTCAGGTCTCATTTGTTCCTCTAGCAGCCTTCTGCAGAGGTATACAGTGGTTCTTCAATAAATGTATGGGGAAAAATGAATGAGAAAGTCATCACTACACCAGGAGTCCTGAACCACAAAGAGGCCTATCCCCACATTCCAAACTGCTGTTCTTCAAAGTCCCTTTAGGCTACTCACGTTCTCCCACCTCTATCCACACCCAGGGGCCTAAGGAGTGAGGGCAACCGGTAAGTGCAGCACTTACCAGAATCCGCTGATTCTTCTTTCTGGGGTTTTCGGAATCGTTGTTGTTGTACAATGTAAAGCGCATGTTGCCTGGGTTCTGCAGCTTCCCATTGGAGAACCGGACTGGAAGAGTGCGGCCGGACAGTGAAATGAGAGAGGATGAAGCCAGAGAGCACAGGGGTAAACTTGACTATCATTGCTTAGGCTGGAAAGGTAAGGAGCTCGGGTCCTGACGTCTAGTTCCGTTGGGAAGGCAGGGTGGGGGTTGGAGGGAGTCCGGGGAAGAGCTGGTCTAAACAAATGAAAAGATCTGGTCTAGGTCTAAGGAGGCAGAGGAAATCTGCTTAGTGGGAAGAGAGAAATGGGCAGGTGGAGGAGACTTGGGCCCAGCCTGGAGGAGGGGATGAGGGGATGGCTGGGATGTCCTCGGGCAGCTGGGAGGAAGCGACAGAAAGATGGCGAGATGACCGGGGGAAGAGGGGAGAGGAGGGGGGGAGGGCCCACCTCAGCGTGGGTGAGGGTGGCATGGGGGGTGGAGGGGTCCTGGCCTAGATTGGGCCGCAGAAGGCAGCTTGTCCCGGGGCGGGAGAAATGCCGAGGTGCCCAGCAGATCAAGAGGAAAAGGGTTTCGGGGAATCTGCACCCGCTCCGCAATCTTTACCCAGTACAGCTTTACGTCTCTCTTCGGGCTCTCCACAGTACTGCCACCTCGCAGTTGGCAACACCTCCGCCGTCATCTCACCGGTCCGGCCGCCAAGCTGGGAGAGCAGGGAAGACTCCAGAGCTGTGGCTGGCACGCGAGAACCCGGCGAGAACTACCCGCCGGAAATGACAAGGCCTCCCCCACCGGCCCCGCCCAGAACACGTGAAGCGCAGGCCCCGCCCCCTACGCGCGAAGGCACGCTTTCCACGCCCACTTCCCGCCCACCCGCTCAGTTCGGCCGGTGAGGTCTCCGCCCACACGTCGCCACACCCCCTCCTCGACCCGCCCCCCCGCGAGGCGCATCACCTGATTGGCCCAACGTTTAGCCTTGGCCCCCAGTGTAGAAACAAGCTCTAGGTTTGGTGTGGTCGTGTTTAGCCCATTTTAAATAGAGCATCATCTTTCAGTATTCACAAGTTCTGAAAAAAGCAAGGTCAAAATTTAGAATCCTCTGCCAGGAACTCCTCGAGGTCCAAGAGAAGGTGGCAGCTGGAGATCCGCTTCTCCGCAGAGTTCTACTTCCAGGCTTTGTCTGGACCCGTGCACAGTTCTTGGTTGTGCACGCATCTGTGGTCTAATCAACGTTGGGAAGATGGACCACTGGGAGAGGCTTTTGCCAAGCATGATCAGGGACTTCTGAAGTGGGCTACAAGGAAGAAATCCTAGATGATGGACTCAACAACTCTTTTTCTTCATGGGGAGTTATCAGAGTGAGGGAGCGCAAAGCAAGGGCCTGTGAGTATGGATGCAGGCCAGAGCCCAGCTAGCCTAGATTCATCTCCGTTCTCCAAGTTGCTGCTTTTCAAGACTCCACCCTTCAACCTCAATACCCAGGATCTACTCAGCAGGCTGAGTATCTGAGGATCGCAGTTCAAAGCCAGCCGGGGAAGGAAAGTCCATGAGACTCTTTTTTTTTTTTTTTTTTT